TGCAAGGGGACTGCAGTTCCCATCATTTTCCCCACTGTGCCATAAAGGGTTGAGCTGCTTCCTGGAGGAAACTTGGCTCAAGTCTACCCTTGGCTCACTGCGTGGTGTGGGACTCTGAATCCAACCTGGTTATAAGAGGGGGGGGGGGGAACAAAGATGAGATTTATGTATATTGCCTCAGCTCAGAATACTAAATTAATAAAACATGCATGCTCCTTGCATCTGGAGAGCACCACGCTGGAAAAGACTCAAGATTGAAGCTCTGCCTTTCTTGGGGCAAGATTTGTGCAACATCTGTTTGGGTTTTAGTGCCAAAATCGATGATTAAGCAACACTTTATATGCATGCAAAATAGATTTGCAGAATTGGCTGGACCAAGGATAGTTCTGTGAAAACTTCCTGCATGAATAGTACAGAGTTACAGATAGTCCTCGACTTACTAGCACAATTGAGCCCAAAATTTCTATTGCTAAACAAGGCAGTTGTTAAAGTGAGTCATGCCCCCATTTTATGACTGTTTTTGCCATAGTTAAGTGAATCATACTGTTAAGCAAATCTGGTTTCCCCTGTTGACTTTGCTTGTCAGAAACCAGCTGGGAAGGTTACAAATGGTGATCACACGATCCCAGGATATTGCAGCCATCATAACTACATGCCAGTTGCCAAGCGCCCAAATTTTGATCACATGACCATGCCATGGGGATGCTGCAGTGGTTGTAAGTGTGAAAACTGGTCACAAGTCACTTTTTTCAGTGCATTGCAACTTCAAACTGTTACTAAACAAATAGTTTAGTATTACTTGAGGACTAGCTGTGCTCAAAAGAACATGCAAAATGGAATAACCAATCCATTGGTTGGGATTGCACTTTCTAGGCAGATTTTCTCTGAAATGTTGAATGTCCCTGCCATAAATAAACTAGATTCATGTTATCTGAGGTACTGCCTACAACTTTATGATCCCACACAAACTCTTACGTGGTTTCAAAAGTCTTTTCTGATGTGAAAGTTGGAATAATAGGAAAAAGGATCTTTATAGAGAATAGCCAATAATATAAGGGTGATTCATGGTATCGTAGAAATCCTTTGAAACTGTCATTGTGTTAACAAGTATTCAGACTAAAAATCTGTTAAGTGTGCAGGCCACTACATGTCTTAATTCCCAAAATGACATTTGGTGTTTGTCTAATACAGGTAGCCCTCAACTTCTAACCACAACTGGACTAGAATTTCTGTTGCTAAGCAAGATGATTGGGTAAGTGAGTTGCACCCAATTTTGTGAGCTTTTTGCCATGGTTGTTAAGCAAATCACAGCGGTTGCCAAGTGAATTGTGTGGTCATTAAACAAATCCAGCTTCCTGTATTGACTTTGGTGGAAGCCAGCTAGGAAGGTCACAAATGGTGATCATGGGACCCTGGATGCTGCAACTGCCATGAATACATGCCAAGGGCCCAAATTTTGATCACAGGATTGTGGGGAGGCAACAGTTGTAAGTCAAGGACTGTCATTAAGTCATTATTTTCAGTGCCATTGTCACTTTGAACTGTCGCTGAACGAGTAATTGGAAGTAAAGGAACTACATTTACTGATGGGACTCTGGCCAAAGTCTTACATATTGTCTTTGAGAAAATTTGGAAATTAGCTAACTGAAGGAAAGCAAGTGCCCCTATCTTAAAGGGAGGGACAGGGAAGAGTGGAATCTTGCAGCTACAAACTAATCAGCCTGATATCAATTCCCTGGAAACTTCTACAGCAGATCAAAAAGAAATCACTATCAGTTTATACGCACCTTGAAACCATTACAGTAATTTTCAGAAAACCGCAAGGGTTTGCCAAGAACAAGCACTGCCCAACTCACCTGATATATATATTTTTTACTTTCTTAATAGATTGTGGGGATGATGTACTTAATAATTTTGAGTTCAGGATGGTAGGAATGAAAGAACAACCTGTTCACTATTGCTTTGATTATTGTAGTATCAGACGTACGATGGTACCGTCGGGGAGGAAGGAGGAAGCAAAAATAGAAAGGGTTTCTGGTAATGTTAGAGAAGATAAATGAGGAAGAATGGAATGGGTATAGGCATCTATCTGTGAATATCTGGAAAAACAAAGGAAATGCACAGGAACTAATGAATAGAAATAGAAATAGACCTGGAAGGGACCTTGGAGGTCTTCTAGTCCAGCCCCCTGCTCAAGCAGGAGACCCTATACCATCTCAGACAAATGACTGTCTACTCTCTTCTTAAAAATCTGTGATGGAGCACCCACGATTTCTGGAGGCAAGCTGTTCCACTGGTTGATTGTCCTCACTGTCAGGAAGTTTCTCCTTAATTCCAGGTTGCTTTTCTTCTTTGATCAGTTTCCAACCATTGTTTCTTGTCCTGCCCTCTGGTGCTTTGGAGAATAATGAGGAATGAAGCACCTTAAAGAAAAAGGCAGACCTTGACTGGTCTACAAAAAAAATCAGACTGGGAAGAATTACTTTTACAAGTAGTTCTCATTTAGCAATTGTCTCATACAGAATTGGTTGCAGTTATTTTTTCCTCACTCGGGGACCTACAAAGTTGGCAACTTTAAGACTTGTGGACTTCAACGCACAGAATTCCTCAGTCAAAATCCGAGAAAACCTCTTCGTGGCTGGCTGAGGAATTCTGGGAGCTGAAATCCACAAATGTTCAAGTTGCCAAGTTTTGATACCCCTGAGTGATGAAAAAATAACTGCAACCAATTCTCGCACTGATACCCTTCTTAGATCTGTTACACAAAGAAAAGCTGAAGTGAACAAACTAGTGGAAATGCTCAAAGTCCAGATATTAAACTCTGCCTAGAAAAATTAGTTCAGTTTCAACTACCGTCCAGAACAGGGGTGTCAAACTCAATTTCATTGAGGGCCGCATCAGCATTGCGGTTGCCCTCAGGGGGGCGGGTGGGTATGGCCAGGGTGGGTGTGGCCTACTGGGTGGTCATGGATGGAGTGGGTGTGGGCTACTGGGTGGGTATGGCCAGCTGTACATCGTTTGCATCAAAGGTGCCTGGGCAGGAGTGGGACAGATCTGAGGGTCTCTGGCAGAAGGGGGTGGGACCAGGGCAAGCACCAAGGCATGGTCCACTGGAGAAGCCTCACTGTTCCTCTCAGGCCATGTGGGGAGGGGCTTATGGAGCTAAGACTGAATGCGTTTCAGCATAGATGGCCACCACAAAATTGTACATTGGCTCCCAGCTGGCCTGGGCCAGGGCCAAGACAGAGGGGGCTGTTCCCTCACTGTTTCCAGGATGGCTTCGCGGGCCACATGAAACCACTTCGCGGGCCACATCCGGCTCCCGGACCTTGTGTTTGACATGTCTGGTCTAGAAGTATTTATCTTGAAAAATTAGCTCTTGAAAGCCATAAGAAAAGTCATCAGGGATATAAATAAAGGATTTCATCATCAAATTTCCCTGTTTTTCTTGAAAATGGCAGAAATTTTAATATCATTTCTTGGCTGACTCCAGCAGTCCCTGAGAAGTCATCTGTGGGACTACATCACCACTGGTTAAAGCAGGTATCGGCTAAATAAAGCTACAGAACACATAACATTTATCTTTAAAGCCATCTAAGTTATCAATTATAGTAGTTTCAGCTGTGTCCTTGAAAAAGGGAGAACGGGATGACAGGTATAGCCATTTCCCAGGTAGAGCAAAAAAAAATGCAAAAACTTCCAACAATCAAAATCAATGGGGAAGCCAGATTCACATAACAGCCATGTTATTAATTTAACAACGACAGTGATTCACTTAACAACTGTAGCAAGAAAGGACCTAAAATGGAACAAAATTCACTCAACAAATGTCTCGCTTAGCGACAGAAAATTGACTTTAACAAACTCAGAGAGAACCTAGGAAAGATCCCATGGATGAAAATCCTAAAG